GGGAGATGTCCCCTCCCCGGCTGGTACGGCCGCGTCTGGGGAGGAGCTGGGCTGCTCCTCCACCCCAGCCCATCCCAGGTCTCCAGGGAAAGGGAGAACCCCAACCCATCCCAGGTCTCCAGGGAAAGGGAGAACCCCACTGAAGTATCCCACTACTGGGAACTGGGAAGCCTGTCCCCTGGGATTTGATGCACGGGGCAGTCAGGATGAGAAGAGCTCAGGGAGGGGGAATATCCTATAACCAAAGCAGCTTGCAGGGCGAGGGGAAACTGAGGCACGGAGGGTGCTGCAAGGGGACCCTCACCTCCACCAAGCAGTCTCCCACCAGCCCGAGCAGCAGGTGGGCCCCGTTGTGCTCCCGCACCAGCGCCGCGTTCTCCGAGCGTGTCATGCAGGTGAAGTCGAACATGTCGACGTCTGGCTGGTCCCGGTGGTTGAGGGCAAAGTCCAGCTGGGGCAGGCAGTAGTTGGTAGAGAAGTTGGCAGCTTCTTTGGCGTAGCTGAGGAGGGCGTCCCGGTTCACATTCTCTGGGGACAGGAGGCTCTCGATGTTTGCCTTGTCCTGCAGGGGTGGGATGGAGCCCGATGGATGCAGAAGGTGTTTCATAGGATCCCAGAATCCCAGACGGGTTTGGGATCATCAAGATCATCCAGATCCAACCCCCTGCATGGGCAGGGACACCTCCCACCAGCCCAGGTTGCTCCAAGCCCCATCCAACCTGCCCTTCAACACTGCCAGGGATGGGGCAGCCACAGCTTCCCTGGGCAACCTGGCCCAGGCTCTCACCATCCGCACACCAAAGAATTCCCTCCTCATCTCCAACCTCAATCTCCCTCTTCCACTTCTCATCCATCCCCCTCATCCCATCCCTCCCTGCCCTTGTCCCAGGTCCCTCCTCAGCTTTCCTGGAGCCCCTTCAGGCACTGGAAGCTGCTCTAAGGTCTCCCTGGAGCCTCCTCTTCTCCAGGCTGAACCCCCCAACTCTCCCAGCCTGGCTCCAGGGCAGAGCTGCTCCAGCCCTTGGATCATCTCTGTGGCCTCCTCTGGACTCACTCCAACAGTTCCATGTCCCTCCTGTGCTGGGGGCTCCAGAACTGGATGCAGTACTCCAGGTGGGGTCTCACAGGAGCAGTCTAGAGAACCACCTCCCTCGACCCGTGTTTGCTCCCCCAGCTGTAGCTGTGCTGCTCAGCTTGGTGCTGTCAGCCCTCCAAAAGGACATTTCCCCCTGGCACGAGACACTGCTCTGTTGAAGCCATCACCACCCCAGGGGTGCACAGCCAAACCAGCGCCCAGGATTTGCATCCCACCCTCTGGGATCCTGCCCCCCTCACCTGGAGGATCACCCCTTTGTTGAGCAGGCTCTGCTTCTTGGCCGTCATCACGAAATAGTGAGTGTCGTCCTTGTAGTAGACAATGTTTTCCAGGTCAATGCCTGGTGGGGGGGAAGGGGCTGAGTTGAGCCATGGGGAAGAGCCAGGACCATGGGGAACCCCCACACCAGGCTCAGCCACCAAATGTCCCCTTCAATGGGGTACCACGGGGTTGGGGGGGAGGAAGGAGACATGCATCCCATCACACAAGGGACATCCCAGGGCTGAGCCTCTGGTTGCACCAGGATAGGACAGGGACCCCTCAGCACCCCTGGGCCCACCGACCTGTTTTGTTGTAGAGGTTTTGGAAGAACTTCTGGTTGTAGATTCTGGCCACGCCGCTGATCTCAGCCACCTCCACCTCGGCCCGGCTGTGGCGGTTGATGAAGTTGGTGGGGATGCCAATGGCCAGTTTCCCCCGCGTCTCCTTCCTCTTGAACCCTGCCGGGATAGAGAGGGGTGAGCCCCCACCCAGTCCCCCCAGTCTGGTTCAGGGGTGCAGGGACCCGCCGCTGTCACCTTCAGGGACAAATTTGCCGCCACCAGCTGAGATGAGGACATCAAACTCGTAGTTGCTGAGGGGAGAGGAGCTGGGCTGCAGCACCGCCCGCCAGCCGCCTGCGGGGAGAGGGACGGTCACGCGCGTGCTGGTTCTCAGCTGGGACCTGCTCCGGGGTGGGAAGAGTGTTGCGTCTCATCCCCTCCCAAAAAGCCGTGCCCCAGGTGAGCAGAGGGACTGGGGGAGGGCTCAGAGTGGCCACCTGGATCCCTGTCCTTGTCCCCAGGGATGCCACCCACCCCGTGGTGATGCCTTACCCTGTCCACCTGCCTTGCCCCCAGGGGGGACGAGGCCCTTGAACTGCACGTTGATGTGCACCTCCACCCCCAGGAGCAAAGCCACCTTCAGCAGG